ACTTTCGTCGACCTTGGAGGGTTTCAACTTCCGCGGGGCGCCTCCCGGCGGGCGGGTCTCTCGCTCGTGAGGGGCAGCGTTAGGGGGGGGGGGACACGGCGTGCCAACGCTACGACTTGTTCGGCGCGCGGTCGCAAGAGGTCCCAGTCCCTGCCCTGGGCCAGTGCTCTCGCCCCGAGGATCCGTGTTTGATGGCCGGGGGGCCCGAGAGCGGGCCCCCGGGAAGCCGACGTCTAGGACCACCGCGCGGGATGAACAAATCGCATGGTCGCAGATCTGGGACCGCGGCGCTGGCGGCGGCGGCGGCGACGACGACGACGACCGTGGCCACCGCTTTGCCTGCGGCTGGCGGCGGCAAGGCGGCGGCGCCCGCGCCGGGGCAGCGCGCGCGCGCGCCCGCTGTCCGCGCTGGGGCTCTCAGTGGGTGCCAGGGTGGGTCTCATGTTTTCCCACCGCACTTGAGGCTAAAGTGCACGTCGTTCATTTCTGATCGTGCTCATTTCTACTTGTGCTCGCTTCTATTTGTTCCTGGCCCCCTAGTGGCCAGGAAGAGGCCCAGGACAGAAGAATCAGAAATGAAAGGGTCCTGGCCCCCCCCAAAAATTAAGACCTCTCGAAGAATTAGAAATGAACCATGTGTAGGTTGGAGCATCATAAGGTGGGTCATATATCTGGCCTCGTCTGGTCTGCGTGGGCTGGAGCAGGTGCCCCAAGTGGCCAAGCCCAGGGGGAGTCGAGACTTACCCTCCCCCGAGCGGGCGGGGCCCCTTTCAGCCCATGATCGCTAATGACGCTCCCTGAGCCCCGCCTGGGGCGTGGGCGGCCCACCCAAGAGACGGGTCAGGCCAGACACGACCCACCTTGGCATCCACTGCGAATCTATATATATATATATGTATACATATAATACATATATATATATGTATATACACACAAACACATATATATACATACATATACATACATACACACATACATATATATATATATATATATATATATATATCCGCCCCTGTCGGCAGGATGCGCGCAGGCGTTCGGAGGTGGGCGGCGCCCAAAGCGCAGGCATCCGACACCCTCACTCGAACCCGTCCCCTGCCATCGCTCGGACGCCCATTCCCCGTGCATGCTTCTCTCGCCATCGCTCGGACGCCCATTCCCTGTGCTTTTTTCGGTTTCGTGCGTGGCTTTTTCGCCAAATGATGAAGGATGCTCCTCGATGGTTCTCGCCGAAGGGAAAATGCACACGTCCGAGCGATGCCAAGTGCTTCTGCTTCCGTTGCCAGCTGATCCAAGTTGCTCCGAGGTGGCTCGGATTTTCTGGCGCTGGCCTCGCCGAGGGAAACCACGTACACACGTCCGAGCGATGCCGGAAGGAGGACGGAAGGGGCCCCAGGACACACAAATAGATACACACAAATAAACAGATTACCCATATTTTCTTATATTTTTGGGGTTTTCGTCATCCCCCCCACTTCCCATATTTTCGCATGTTTTCTGGGGAATCGACGATTCATTGTGTCTGTGTGTTTTTTCCTCTCCTGAAGGGCAATACGAGGGAGGGGATCGCACGCGCCGAGAAGATCGGGTATCGTCCCAGGGGCGGAACCGGCAAACGAACCATCTTTCGCACACGGCACATTCGCAAAGTAATGCGCCTGAGCGTCGCAATCAGAGCAAGCCACGATGATCCAGGATGATGGCAGAGAGGAGAACTGAGGCGGAGGAAGGAGAGGAGGGAATTTCGTGCTTACCCTATGGCTCGTACGATTTCGTCGAGGGACTTCCAGTGAAAAACGAACTCGACGTCCGTATTTCCCTCCATCGTCCTCGTCGTCGTCGTCGTCGTCGTCCTCGTCGTCGTCGTCCTCGTCCTCGTCGTCGTCGTCGTCCTCGTCGATACTTTGGCCTCCTCCTCCAGGAGGCGCCCGGTACACCAGCCGCGGCCGGTGTTCCTGGGGCGCCTCTCGGCGCCAAGGGTGGCGCCCCTGCGGTCGAGGCCGCCGGGCTCGCTGGGCGGAGGAGCCGAGGCCAGCTGCACGCGGCAGGTGTCGGCCGAGCGATGCCGAGCCCCCGTGCCCTCAGCAGCCGTGCCGCGCACGTTGCACTGCGTGCACTGGGAAGTCGAGCCTGCTTCCAGGAGAACTGCGTGCGCTGGGAAGCCGAACCTGCGCGTCTTGGAAGCCGGTTCGGCTCCCCAATGCGCGCGGTCCATCTCGGGAAGCAGGTCTTGTTGAAAAAGCAGGGCCGGCTTCCCAATACACGCAGATTCATCTCTGGCAGATCCGGTGTTCCTCCTCCTGCCTGCTTTTCCCGGGCAGGCCGCTGAGCGGGCGAGGCCCTCGTGGCGTCACTCCTCCTGCCTCCTCCTCCTCCTCCTCCTCCTCCTTCTCCACGCGCTCTCACTCTGCCCCTGTCCCCACAACAACGCCCCGCGCCGATCCGGGTAAGATCTTTGGGGGACAAAGGCGACGCCATCTTGGCGCTTTCTGAGCCAGTTGACGTGACGGGAACGCGCGTGATCGTGGCTGCTCACAGAGAGCGCGCCCTCGCCATCCCCGCGCGCCCAATTGGAACCAACGACATGCGTTTGGAGACGGGCTGGTTTGCAGCCTGGAACACAAGGCCGCACATTCAATGTTTGCGTTTGTATACATGTGTATACACATTTAGCAATATGCATACACATGCCCCGTCGATTGTTGCGTATGACATATCTCGCACAAACGGTCACATGCGAATGTTCTTGTGCATATGAGCCGTCCGTTCGGGAAGTCGGGCACCACGGAACGCTCTCGGCGAGGCGCAGTGGCGGGGAGGCGCCCCGAGGCGAGACAACTCCCAAGAAGCCGCCGAAAACCCTGGGGACACCCTTCCTCCTCCTCCTCCTCCTCCTCCTCCTCCTCCTCCTCCTCCTCCTCCTCCTCCTCCCGACTCCCCAGATGGCTGCGCGCACCTGCGAGGGGGAGCGGGCTTCGTAGGAGGAGGCCGCTTCGCAGAAGGCGCCGGCCCTACGTCTGCAGACAGGGCCCGCGCCCTTGAAGAGGCAAGGGCGCTTCTGACGCGCCCTCCGCCCTCCCTGAAAGTCTTCAGAACTAGAACCCCACACAAGAAGGGGTGATTGATTACTTTTTCCGCGGCCTTCTTCACGGATACGTGCTCCACCAATAGGGGGAACTGCAGTGCGGACGCGGCCGCAAGAAACCATCGCAGGAGACCCAGCCCTGAAAACCCGCGCGGGAACTGCACCTAAGGGGGGGAAACCTGGAGCACCCTGAACGCACCATCTTTTTCAGCGTTCGCGGGGAGTCACCGCGCAGCGCGCGGAGCGTAGAAACCCAGGATACCCTGACGAAAAGCATGTGGTTTCTTGATGCGCGCCCGCGCTGGAATTCTTGTTCACCCGCCGCGCAACAGCGACGCCGGCTGGGAGGAGGGAGGACGACGACGAGGACGACGAGGACGACGACGACGAGGACGACGAGGACCAGGAGAGAGGACGACGACGAGGACGACGACGAGGACGACGACGAGGACGACGACGAAGCCCTGGGGGGGGGGGCGGGCGCCTCGCCCAGCCTGCGCGAGTTCTTGCTGGTCGGCCAGAAGCGGTCCAGGTTCTCCTGCGGCCCCCGAGGCGGCGCAGCCCCCCGAGGGGGCGAAGGGGCCCAGGGGCACGCCAGTGGAGGCACGCAGCAAATCCCAAGACTCTCCCTATATTATCCCATCGTTTCTGGTGCTTCTTCTTCCCCCCCTCACACTTCCCATATGTTCCCATAGCTTCCTGGGGATCGACGATTCATTGTGTGTTTTGTCCCCTCCTGAGGGAAGGGGGGGGGGGGGCACGGGGCTCCGCGCAGAGGCACGCAGCAAGTTCGCGCCGTGTCGACCCCAGGCGCTGGTTCTCGGCACCGCGGGAACCGTTGAAGCCGGAACGGTCGGCAATTTTGTCCGAAACGCCAGATCGTCAGTCGGGCGTTGGCAGAACTGGGTTTGATGGGACCTGGTTTAGTGATGTGTTCTGGGAGACGCCCCCCCGCCCCGTTCCACTAACTGGAACTGCCGTAACCCGAAAAACACCACCTACGGCAAACCTGGTCTAATGATTCTGGCCAATTCGAGGGCTCCGGGGCCCTACCACTAACCGGGTCCCCTTACCTGGGGTCCTGGCCATACCCGAGTCAGATCCTCAACATCGACCAATTCTGGGTCGCCGGCGGCGGGGTCGCCGCAGGTCGACACGACGCGAAGCTGCATTAAAAGCCAGGAGCTATAAGCTCAACGGCTCTGGTAGAGAGGACAAGGACACGGCACAAGCGCAGGCCTGCGGAGCTCCGCGCGGACAGCTCGGCTTGGCGCTGGGCCCCCCCGCCCTGGGGCGCGGAGCGCGCCCGGGGCGCGCTCCGCCAGGGGGGTCCAGCGCCGATGCGAGAGAGCCGAGCGGAGCTCCGAAAGTGATGGTGTGGTGATGGTGATGGTGGTGGTGGTGTTGGTGATGATGGCGATGGTGATGATGACGACGACGACCACGACGACGATGATGATGCTGATGATGATGACGACGACGACCACGACGACGATGATGATGCTGATGATGATGCTGATGATGATGATGATGACGATGATGATGATGATGATGATGATGATGATGATGATGATGATGATGATGATGATGATGATGACGGCGGTGATGGCGATGGTGATGGTGATGACGATGGTGCTGGTGCTGGTGGATGGTAATGGAGGTTTATGTGTGTTTCCCGCTTCGAGCACAGGGCTCCTTCCGCTCCTGCTCCTGGGACGCCCGAAGTGGGTGCGGGAACCACTGGTGCGATACCAAGCCACAAACCTTGTCCAAAACCGGCAGCGGCCGCTGCTGGGCAGAGGCGGCCTTCTGCCTCCAGTGACAAGACCAGGGGCGAACCCTGCTCAAAATGATCAGGAACTACAGTTGTGAAGGGCCCTGGGACTCTTTAACAAATACACACAAATAACAGGATTACCAATATTATCGGGGTTTTTAACATCCCCCCGACTTCTCATGTTTTCCCATATTTTCTTGGGAGTCGACGATTAATTGTTTCTGTGTTTTTCTTCCCATCCTGATGTTGGGTATCGTGCAGGCAAAACGTGCATCAAGGACGGGTGGTAAGGACGCAAGAACCGTGGAGGCCGAAGTTGGGAGTCTTCGGACGGTCAAGGACGGGCCGCAGAGGCAAGTGCACAAGAGTACCGTAGATAACAGGCGCACGTCCATATTCGGCGCGTTAACTGTTAACTGTGCCCATTCTCCCCGTATCCGTTTCGACCGTGCCGAAGCTCTGCCTGGCACGAGCGCCAAACCACGTACATGAATACAGCCCCCCAGTCCGCGAGACCAGCCTCGTGATACGAACGTTCTTGTGATGAGTGCTCTCGAAGCCAACGTGGGTTCATGTCCGTGTGCAGTCGGACCCAGGCCAGAGGAACATCCCTCAAGAACACTAGACCCTCCGACGGCCAAAACAAACAGAACATCCAAGGGTACCCTCCCCAGGATGCACAAGAACATCCAACAAGAGCGAAGAACACTACTTTGGGTTTCTTAATGAGGGTGGGGGGGTACCCCCCCGACGGGGGTCAACCTAGCCTCGTCGTCGCGCCGCGAAGGGGGTCGGAGCGCCTTCGGTGCGCGGTGGCTGCCCGAAACGGGGGTCGATGTGGGGCTGTCGGCGGGGGCGGCGCCCCCCCGACCCGTATTAAGAAACTCGGAGAAGGGCACCCTCCCCGAACCGACATCGATGTGTTCCATGTTTGTTTTCCTTCCTTCCTTCCTTCCACTCGGCGCGCGCAACACGCTCTCCGGATGCCTCAGAAGCCGAAGAAGATGACGATCTGAGCGGGATAACGCCTCTGACTGCGGATGAGAACCGCCCTCGATCTTATACCTCGGTCCGACTGTGCGTGTACGTCCTTCTCTCGCTCCTGGCCCGAGGCCCCTGCTTAGAAATGTTAAAAAAAACTGTTACAACATTTAGATCATCGTCCCCATATTATTAGTTGAAACTATTTTTGGATATTCCTCCTGTAGAGGGACAGGCCCGACTTAACACTAGGGCACCCTCCCCGAACCCACCTCGATCTTCTACCTCGGTCCGCCTGTGCGCGCACGTCCTTCTCTCGCTCCGGGCACGAGAGGCCCGCCCCGGCGGCCGCACGGCCCAGGCGGCCGCACCGCGCCGGCGGTGGCCCGCTCCGGCGGCGGGCCGCCGCAAGACGAGGCCAGGACGAGGATCCGGGTGACCCAGATTTAGAACATCCCCCCCGTAGAGGGACAGGCCCGACTTGACTGCAGAGGCCTCCTCACTGGGGCCGGAGTAGATGGGGTCGGAGGATCTCGCCGCATGGCCGATGCATTGGCGATGCATCGGCGATGCATCGGCCAGGCACTGGTGGCGTCGGCGACGCACCGGCGGCGCCGGCGTGGGGAAAGCTGGGCCCCACACCTCGAGCCGCATCGCTGACACACATCGCCGAGGCGGCGCTGCGGCGCGAGCCTCCGACCCCGCCTGCTCCGAAGCCCATCCGGGAGGTGTATAGAAGCTGGGCGTGCCCGCCAGGTCTCGGGCCCCGGGGCCTGCTGGATCGAGCTGGCCATAGAGAACAACGGCGCAGAGACAAGTGGCTGTCCGGCTCGCGAGGGGCGTGGCGGCGCGCAGGAGGGGGTGGAGGGAGGGGGGAGGGCTTCTTGGAGGGAGGCTGCTGCTTAGAAGGCGCCGGCATTACAGATAAGGGTCCGCGCCCTCTAAAAAGCAGGGGGGTGCCCCCCCCCCCACCCCCCTCTGCGCGTGGCTGTGGAGGGGCAGGCCCAACTGGAAGTTACGCCTTTTTTTCGAGCCGGATCGATCCGTGCAGGCCCTGGGGCCGTAAGGATCGAGCGACGACGCCCGGCTCGGGCAAGATCGAAGTGCCGGGATCTCAGGATCGGGGGAGGAGGAGGAGGAGGAGGAGGAGGAGGAGGAGGAGGAGGAGGAGGAGGAGGAGGAGGAGGAGGAGGAGGAGGAGGAGGAGGAGGAGGAGGAGGAGGAGGAGGAGGAGGGAGGAGGGGAGGAGGGGAGGAGGAGGAGGAGGAGGGAGGAGGAGCGGAGGAGAGGAGGAGGAGGAGGAGGAGGAGGAGGGAGGAGGAGGAGGAGGAGGAGGAGGAGGAGGAGGAGGAGGAGGAGGAGGAGGAGGAGGAGGAGGAGGAGGAGGAGGACGAGGAGCTCCCTGGAATGCCCCAGGCGTCAAGAACGCTCCCGACGTTAGCGCTTCAGCACGCGAGAACCTCCCTGACCCACGCTGGCGTCCAGCCCCAAAAAGGGGGTCGTGCAGCACGTTCTGGGCAATGGTTTTGCAAATTTACCGAGGCAGAGAACTGCATCTCATCGTATTGCAGCGAGTATGCATTGCACGCGCAAAATCCAGCAACAGATCTGCGCCCAGGAATCTGCTGCACGCCCCAAATCTGTTTCAGCCCCACGAGTCTAAGGAACGCTAGTGTGCCGCATCATTTTACAGTGCGGGCGCGGCAGCAAGACACCCTCGCAAGCATCCCAAACCCTGAAAAACAGGCGCGCGAGGTGCACCTGAGGGAACAAGACTCGGAGCACCCCGAACGCGGCAGCTTCTCCAGCGGCTGCGGGCAGCAACCGCGCAACTCGCGGAGCGGAGAAACCCGCGGTACCCTGACGAAACACGTACCCATCGGTGGGACGAAGTAGGTAGAAACATGAAGTAGGAAGGCGGATGAAGTAGAGTGCCCGCCCAGAGAGTAACAACACGCATCAAAAGCAGATCGATGATTGAAGGAGGGAGGCGCTTGAAGTAGATTTGGCCCTGGGAATCCAAAAATACCTACTTTCAACGACCGATGTGTGTGGCTTCTTGCTGCGCGCCCCCCCCCACTGTAAGCTGGACCCCCTCTTGGGCCAATGAACCAGAGCGACGCCCTCGGCGTCTCCCCGCCCGCCCAAGGCCGAGCCCTCCGCCGACGCCGCCGTCCTCCTCCGACGCCGCCCCCCGACGGCGACGGCGACGACGACGACGCCGACGAGCGACGACGGCGAGCGACGGCGAGCCCCGCCGCCGACGACGGCGAGCGACGGCGCCGACGACGGCGACGGCGACGGCGACGGCGACGGCGACGGCGACGGCGACGGCGACGGCGACGGCGACGGCGACGACGACGACGACGACGACGACGACGACGACGACGAGCGACGGCGGCGACGACGACGACGACCAGCGAGGACGGCGAGCGACGGCGAGCCCCGCCGACGACGACGACTGGGAGAGCTTCAGACAGTGCGCCGCCACCGGCCCTGGCCAAGCCCATCCTGGGCCCTGGACTGGTGCTCAGGCCCTCCCTCCCTCCCCCCCTCCCCCCCTCCCCCTCCTCCTCCTCCTCCTCCTCCTCCTCCTCCTCGGCTACACGCAAGAGTGGCCCTGGGGAAGGGTGGCCTTTGGCGCGCGGCTTTTGGGGGCCGCGGGGTGGCCAAACACAAGCGCGCAAGACGCCACTGCCGCCTCGAGATCAGCGATCGGGGGGCCCCATTGGGCCCGCACCAAAGGTCGCTCCGGCGAAAGGTCACTCTTACGACGTCGAATCGACTGGTGTACAGGCCCTTCCGGCCTGGGCCTGGAGGCCGATTTTTGTTGCCGGGAACTGCAAGGCTGAGGTGTTCATGCCACGGGACTGCTTCGACGGTCGGGTCCTCCCTCTCCGGGCGGGGACTCTTACACATCTGGTCGAAACACCAGGTCTGCTTCCTCGTGGGCTCGCCGCACTTCTCAGCCAAGCCTCGAACGCTGCCGAGGGAGGCGGTGGAATGAGCATGGCTCCTGGAGGCCTGTGCGCTGGCCCAGGGCCCAGGCTGGACCTGGCCAGGGCTGGTGGTGGCGTGTTGTTGGCGCCCCTCCGAGACGACGCCTCCGACGAAGAACGACGCCGACGGCGACGACGCCGCTGGCGACGACGACACTGGGTCTTGAGCAGGGACCGACCGTCCCGGCATTTCTATGGGCCACCACGCCATGTTCGTAGCACCCAGAGATGTTCTAAGAACGAAAACAAAGTTCTTAGAACATTCATCCGGTGTATGAAAAAAAGACAGCCCCAGCCAGAACTGTTCTGAGAGCATTTCGTGCAGACCCTCAAAGGTTCTCAGACCACTCTTCGGTGGGCCTATGGGCGAGCCGGGACGCTTCGCCACTGCTCGAGGGTCTGCTTCGTGGCGACGGGTGAGCGTCCCTCCGAGACAACGACTCCGACGACGAACGACTCCGACGGCGACGACGCCGCCGCCGCCGCCGACACTGGGTCTGCTTACCAGCCTGGAACATATCCCTATGCTGGGCACCTCCTCATCACGATGCCAATCTTAGGGATCCCCTTATTTTTGGAGGGCGAATCCCTAGGATTGTCATCGCCTTTTGGCGCGTCAATCTTAGGAATAGGGATACGTTCGAGGCCGGTAATCTGCTTCGTGGCGACGGGGGACCGCCGCTCCTCCGGCGTCTTCGTGGGCGCCGACGGCGCCGGGGCGGGCTGCTGCTGCACGGGGGGGGCGCTCGCGACCGTGCCGCTGGAGGCGCCCAGCACCGGCTGCGTGGCGGGAGCTGGGCGCGGGCGCCGCGGGGGGCTGGTCGGCAGGCGGGTGTGCAGGAGTGGAAGGCGGGGGGGGCGGATGTGCAGGAGTCGACGGTAGACGAGGGGGAGGAAGATGAAGCGAAGGAGGAGGAGGAGGAGGAGGAGGAGGAGGAGGAGGAGGAGGAGGAGGAGGAGGAGGGGGACGACGACGAAGAGGGAGAGGAGGAGGAGGAGGAGGAGGAGGAGGAGGAGGAGGAGGAGGAGGAGGAGGAGGAGGAGGAAGAGGAGGACGAGGGGGAGGAGGAGGAGGCGGGGGAGGCGGATGTGCAGGAATAAGTACAGCCGAAAGTGTGATCCAGAAGATCATCACCTAAGAAACCTGGGCCAGCTTTCGGGAAATTTCTGAAGACAAACCTGGCCAAATTATTGTGTCTACGCTGGAGGGCCGAACGTGCTCAAGAAACTGAGCCAGCTCTCCGGCAAGTTGACCAAGAAACGCTGGCCCAGCTTTTCGAGAGAAGGTTTCTGAATCAAATGCTCGACTGTAATGCTCGACTGTAGACGAGGGGGAGGAATATGAAGCGAAGGAGGAGGAGGAGGAGGGGGAGGAGGACGACGACGACGAAGAGGAGGGGGAGGAAGAGGAGGAGGAGGAGGAGGAAGAGGAGGGGGAAGATGAGGAGGAGAAGGAGGAGGAAGAAGAGGAGGAGCAGGAAGGCGAAGATGATGACCCTCAGCCGCCCCGATGAGCCACACGCAACTCGTAGCGTGTTGACGCAGAGCTCAGCACGTAAGTCTGGCGCGATGAGTTCGCCAAACCGTGGCCCAACACGTGCCGAACCAACACACAACGTGTTAACACTGACGTCTTGAACACGGTAACGTGTGGCGCTGCCAACGGGTGAGACGACGACGATGATGACGCACGGCGCGATCTAAACTGTGTTTTCCATGTTCGTGTTGTAGTCGTGTTTCGCGTTTTGTCTTCGCTTGTTTTGTTGTTCCTAACCTTCCTCCTGCAATTGTTTTTCGTTTTCCATCCTTCTCCATCCACCTTGTCTCTTCAGTCCTCCCCCATTTCCCCCTGATTTTGGAGCTGCGCCAGCTATGCGCGGCAAGTCGTGAAGATATAAACCCAAGAGAGAGAGGTACGATCGAAGACGAACGCGAGCAGAAGAGAACGCACACTCTGGAACTGTTCGGTGTTGTTGTTGCTGATGCTGTGATTGGTCTCGTTGTTGTTGTGTTGAACTCTCACTTCTGAACAATAGGTATTGGTGGTCCCCCCTGCACTGTGCACATGTTATTTTTCAATTGATGTGCCCCTCCTAAGGCTCGTACCCTGTTGTTGTATCAAGGAAAATCTTGAGCCTCAAACTGCGCCCCCGGCCCCCGACTTGAAACAACAACGGCTCCCGCCTGATACTACGTCACAATTAATTCAAATATCAAACTACCCTCCCGATTTCGCGCTCTCGCGTGGGACTTCCTGTCATTCATTCGAACGCCGCGCCCTCGACACTCAGGAATCACGCTTTCGCTGTTGATTTCCGGACGATTTATTCAGGAATCGCGCCCTCGCTAGAGACTTCCGCGCAATGCATGCAGGACGCACGCTTCAGTAACCCGCCGTCTTGACCTGGCCGCCTGGGCCAGCCTTTCAGACCCGTCCGTTGTGGTCTACCCGCCCAAGCTGCCCGTCTGGTTCTGCCACGTGATTTCTGTTCCGAGATTCTCTCCTGCCGCCCTCTCTCGTGCTCCGTCCTCCTCCCCTTTGTCCCTTCCTTCCATATGTTCTCTCTGCCCCTGCCTTAGGGGCTGCGCGAAATTCATGTTGCAGGCAAGAAAGACATATCCCCCAGGGGGGTTACGATGGAAGACGAAAGAGGGCGGGCATCGAGGGTTTTGGATGTACGTGTTGAGTGGCCCGCGAGCACAGAAGAGCGAACACTCTTGGAATGATTGATGTTGTCGTTGTTGTTGCTGCTGCTGTTGTTGCGGTTGTTGTAGTTGTTGTGTTTGTTGTTGGTGTTGTTCTTGTTGGTTCTACTGCTGCCGGATCTTATTTAACGAGAAAACAATTATTACTGGACCCCCTGAGCTCGCTGTGACGCTCTCGCCACGTCTCTGGCGAACTCCTTCTGGAGTCGATGCTCACGTTCACGCGTTTCGGGGGTGCACCGAATGCACCCCCCCCACTGGCCATCGCTCGGACGTCCATTCCGTGTGAATTTTCGGTTTCGTACGTGGTTTTTTCGCCAAATGATCAAGGATGCTCCTCGACGGTCCTCGCCGAAGGAAACATGCACACGTCCGAGCGATGACAAGCCCAAAAACAAAATCAACAACGCTCCCGCTCGATACCTTGTCCTTGCCTACTTGGGGCCAGGGCTCTTGCTCGCCGCCGGAGAGCAGACGTTCCCACAACACCGACGCTCCCGCTCGACACTCCCTCGTTGTCTACTCAGGACCGCCGCTCCCGCCTCGGCGACGCAAGCGCCCCCCATGCAAACCACGACGTTCCCGCTCGGTACTTCCTCCGCTGGGCCCCAAGATCACAAGAGGAACCGAAGCTTTCCTAATCCATGCTGAACCTTAACTGCGGGGAGATTATACTTGTGGGACACCCTACATCCACAATGGCGCTCTCCCCGCGGCTCTGGTTGCCTGTTGCCTTGCTTTTGAACAGCAACAACACCACCAACACCAACACCAACAACAAGATCATCAACACCAACAACATTCATTTCAATACTGATCGTTCTTATCCCCTCGCGTGCCACTCAACACCATATCCCAACCCCACGATACCCGCCATGATCGTCTTCGATCGTACCCCGTTCGGGTTGTTTTTCCTTACCTGCAACGTGCATGTCGTGCAGCCCCTGGGGTAGGGGAAAACATGGCAGATGGAAGGAACGGCCAAGGGGAAATGATACTGATGGAGCACAAATAATAGCAGAAGAAACGGGCTAGGCACAGAACGCATATGGCATAACCACACGGGCGACTCGAGAGGATAAGCCCTAACATGCGGGTGGGGAGAGCGGACCCAGGCGGCCAAGTCGAGAAAAAGGGCGCAATGAAGCGTGCATCCTGCATGAATTGCGAGGAGGTCTCGAGCGATAGCGCGATCTCCAATGTGACCACGAAGGGCAGCGAGAGGGCCACGAAGGAACGGGGCTACTCGGGGTAGCGATGGGGGCCACGAAAGGTCTGCAACGGGGCCACGAGGGGCAGCGCGGGGGCCAGGAAACGCTGCAACGGGCCCCGAAGAGCAGCGAAGGGGCCACGGAGGGCTGCAACGGGGCACGACAAAAGGCAGCGAGGGGGCCACGAAGGGCTGCAACGGGGCCACGCCATGCAGCGAGGGGGCCACGAAGGGCTGCAACGGGGCCACGAAGGGCAACGATGGGGGCCACGAAGGGCAGCGAGGGGGCCACGAAGGGCCGCAACGGGGCCACGAAGGCCTGCAACGCGGGGCCACGAAGGGCAGCGAGGGGGCCACGAAGGGCTGGAACGGGACTTCCTTGGAAGCTCTGCAGACGCCGCGCCCTCGACACTCAGGAATCACGCTCTCGCTGTGGAGTTCCTCACGATTTAGTTGGGAATCGAGCCATCGCTCGAGTTACCTTCGCGATTCTTGCAGGACGCACGCTTCAGCAACCCGCCTGCTCGACCTGGCCGCCTTAGCTCGCTCATCCCGCTCAGCTGGCTAGCCTTTCACTTCGTCCACCTCGCTCGCTCGCTCGCTCCCTAAAGGCTTGGGTCCGAAGCCTAAACTCTAAACTCCGAAGCATAAGGCTTGGGTCCGAAGCCTGGGGCTTGCCTTTCACCTCCTCATCCTCCTCCTCCTTCCCCTTTTCCTTTCTCTTCTGGGGACGAAACGGGCGCCCGGGCCTGGCTCGTCATCGTCCTCGCTGCCCGACTTGAAGAAGCTGGTCTTCTCAAGGTCCTTCAGCACCACGTCCACCACCTGAAGCCACTGCTTGCTTCAAGAACTCCTGCTGCCGACCTTCAGCGATTCCAAACTGACCTCAAACAATTGTGTTTACGGTTTTTTTCACAGCAAAACAGGTTCAAACCAGCCACCACCAACGTCGCCCACGGCGAGCGCGCGGGCGCGGCGAGCGAAAATCGATGGGCGCAGGGCGCCGAAAAATGCCGGCTAAGCAGAGCAAGAGGAGGAGGAGGAGGAGGAGGAGGAGGAGGAGGAGGAGGAGGAGGGGGAGGGGGAAAACCCCTGGAGCGCTCACACGCACTCTAGGTCAGCGACCTGGCAAGGCGGCTCAAGGGGTACTGATTCACATCAGATCGCAAACCCGCGCTGCACACAGACCTCTCAAGCCCTTCCCCGACCATATCCGCTTCTTACTTGCCCAGAGTCCGAGAGCCGAAACCGGCCCCAGACGCCGAAACCATGGCATAAACGCCGGTATCGAGAAACTGACGACGAAAAACGACGACGAGGACGAGGAAGACGACGACGATAAGAAGAAGCCGCTGCACAAGCACAGAGCTTTCTGAAATCTGGGTGGACTTCTTGGCTGGGGGCTGGAGGTCGCCGTCGAATCGGGCCATCGAGATGGGGTCGCATCGAGCCGAGCGACGTCGATGCCGAGCCGGATCAGCCCAAATCCGAGATCGGGAGCACGGCAAAGAGAACGGCGGCCCGCTGCCGGGGACAGGCTCCCGGCTCGCTGCCCTGTCCCGAGCGCCCGCCAGGTAAAATACCAACCCTGGCGCTCCCAGGGAAGGAGGAAGCCAGCCGCAGGGATGCCTAAGGAAGGGTGCAAGTGGGCCTGAACAAGCGCTATGCAGCAACAGCCAACCAGACTACAGTCATCGGCCTGACCTAAGGAACGATAGATAAGGAACGAAGCCCCTTTTTTTTATCCCAAGGAATAACGCATGAGGAACGATAACTAACAAACGACGCATGAGGAACTGTAAACAACGCATGCAAGCCTAAGGAACGACCGAGCCCCTTTTGAAAAGCAAGTGCTCCTTAGTCCAGCCGCTCACCGTAACACAAACTTTTGGAGATCCGTGCGGATTTCTCGGGTCGGCGCGGGACACTTCTTGCCGAGCGCGCGGAGCGCGCCAGGGGCGGCGCCCGAGGCGGCGCCAGAGGTACCCCACAGGAGGGGGTGGTCAAGCGCCCCGTGAAACCTCTTGCGAGCCCGGGCGACCAGGGCGATCACGGGACGGCCGCACAGCCCAGCACATCAGCCCACTTTGGGCGCCCGAGCTATCCGGGGTAACTCGGGACCAGGGTAACTCGGGTTCGGATTCCCGAAAAAACGAACCCGAGTTTGCCCTGACCCGAGTTACCCCTGTTGATTCGGGTCTCTGACCACTGGCCTCGTGACCGGAGCAACCGAACGCTCCGATCGCGACTGCCGCTCGTGCAACGAGAGCCTTGCCGCAAGGAACCTCGGAATGGGAAAGAAGCACGATCCATCAGCATCGACTCGGGAAATCGGGTCGGATCGAAACACACACCGAATCGGGCCGAATCGGCACGGAGTCGGAATCGAACTGGATCGGCTGCGCCAACATGCACGACAATGCCACGCGAACATCGGGCCGCATCGGATCGCCGGGAACCAAGGAGCCGAATCGGATCGAGCGGGCCGGAATCGATAGCGCCGCGCGTCGGATCGCTCGGATCCAAAAATGGCCCCTGCTACGTGCGGCCAACTCTGGACACCCTGGGCCCCAACAGCGTTTCCATCTCTTGGGGGCGCATCTCCTACTTCCGCCGGCCTCGCTTTCCTTCCTCCGCCCTTCCACCGCTAGGGGAACAAAAAAGGACATAAACATAAAAAATCGGAGGTCCGCGCGAATTTCTCGGATCGGCGCTGGACCCCCCTCCCTGGCGCGCGGAGCGCGCCAAGGGCGGCGCCAGAGGTGCCGCCGGGGGGCCCCAGCGCCGATCCGAGAAATCCGCGCGGACCTCCGAGTTTTTATGTTTATGACACTTTTTGTTTCCCTAGCCGCCCTTCCGCCATTGAAGAGATGCCGGCTCCTTCGGTCCTCGAAGGCGAGGCCCTTTCTGGAACGGCTCCTGTGGGGCGGCCGGCCTGGGGGGGGGCGAGAGGGGGCGGGCCTCCCCAGAAGACTCGGAAGTCCCCCAGCCTTCTCTGAGCATTCTCTCAGGCTGGAGGGCTCAGGGTGAAATCCATATGAGCTTTGGTACCTCGAAAATCAGTCCGTCTCGTGATCCACCTTTTTGCAGATTCAGGCCTCGAACATCCATCGAAACGGCATTTCAGATTTCACCCTCTGCCCTCCACCCAAAGAAAATGCTCGGCTTCTGAGAAGCTCTCTCAGCCTTCCCCGAAGACACAGGAAACTTCTCAGAAGGCGCGAGGGTTTCTGAGAAGCCCCGCCGACTGCTGAGAAGGCCTCCCCCTCCTCGCTTCCCCTCCTCGCTCGCCGCCGAGTCCAACTTCGTGCCATACTCGGGCCTCCGGCGGCCGTTCGGGACGATCTGGGCGCCCCCGGGACGCCCTCGGCGAGGCGCAGCTGCTGGCAGGCACCCCGAGGCCAGAGAAAACCGCCGAGAGGCGCCGAGAGCGTCCGAAGACCTCGACCCTCTCGAAGCTCGAACCTCGAAGCTCGCCGCCGAGGCACGCGTGGCAGTCGTCGCGCCCTCTCTTTGCCTGACCCCGCAGGGGCCCCCCGCTCGGCCCGGGCGAGAGGGGGGCATAGCAAAGGGGGGGGCTTGAGACTCAGCTCACGCAGCTGACTTTCCCGGCGCCCCCCGGCGCCAGGAGGCGCACAGGCATCGAGGCATGGGCCCCTCGGGGGGGCCGAAGCCAGCTAGGGCTCCTCCTCCTCCTCCTCCTCTTTCTCTTCTTCTTATTCTTCTTCCTTCTTCTTTTTCTTCCCCCCCCCTCCCCCCCCCCCCCCCCCTTCTTATCCTCGTCTTCTTTCTTCTTCTTCTTCCCCCTCCACCCCTCCTCCCCCCCTCCTCCTCCTCGTCCTCCTCTCCTGCCTCCCCTCCTCCTCCCCCACTCCCGTCCTCATCCCCGCCTCCTCCTCCTCTTCCTCCTCCTCCCTCCTACTCCTCCGATTCCTCCTTCCTCCTCCTCCCTCCTCCTCCTCATCCTCCTTCCTCCTGCTCCTCTCCTCCTCCTCCTCTTCCACCCCCCTCCTCCTCCTCCTCCTTCTCCTCCTCCTCCCACCCTCTCCTCCTCCGCCTCCTCTTTCCCTCCTCCTCCTCCTCCTCCCTTCCCCTCCTCTTCCCTCCCCTCCCCCCTCCTCCTCCTCCTCCTACTCCTCCGCTCCGCCTTCCCTCCTCCCTCCTCCTCCTCCTCCTCTCCGCCTCTCCTCTCGCACCCCCTCCTCCTTCTCCCTCCTCCTCCACTCCACCCCCATCCTCCTCCTCCTCCTTCTCTGCCCCCTCTCCTAACTCCTCCTTTTCCTCCTTTCCTCCTCCTCCTACCTCCTCCTCCCTCCTCCTCCAACCCCCCTCCTCCTCCTCCTCCTCTCCTCCTCCTTCTTCCTCCGTCCTCCTCCCCTCCTCCCTCCTTCCTCCTCATCCTCCCCCTCCCCTCCTACTCCTCCTCCTCCTACTCCTCCTCCTTTCCTCCTTCCTCCTCCTCATCCTCCTCCTCCTCCTCCTCCTCCTCCTCCTCCTCCTCTTCCTCGTCCTCCTCATCCCCCCCTTTCGTTCGGCCCGACCCGCCGCCCCCGCCGACGGCCTCTGCGGAGAGGCGCGGCCCTCGAGCCCCCCCCCAAAGAGATCGGGCCCTGGCGGCCGGACGTATCATCGGCCGCCCTCCTGCGGGGCGCTCTGCGGCCTCCTGCCCGCCCGCCCCTCGGAGAAGAAACGTACGCAGCATCAGAGCAGTGTCACGAATCATACCATCAGGGAAAGCGTTGAAGGGACCCCCAGGACACACAAAAAATAAGCACACACACATATGTATATATATATATATATATATATATATATATATAAAAAAATAATGACTCCCCATGTGTTCCCATGTTTTAAGGGTTTTCGTCTTCCCCCCCCCACTTCCCTGTATTTTCCTATATTTTCGCGGAAATCGAGGATTCATTGTGTCTGTGTGTGTTTCTCCTCTCCTGAGAGTATTATGGTCATAGAACCAATCAGTAGCAGTAAGATGACAGAGAAGACCCCTGTACAGAGGAAGGAGAAGCCTATACATATGCTGCATGAGCTTTCGGAGGTCCGCGCGGACTTCTTGAATCGGCGCTGGGTCCTCTCCATCAGAGCCTTGGATCGGTGCGGATTTCTTGGCCCGGCGCGCGGTGCGCGCCATGTGCGACGCTGGCAGCGCCGCCCGTGGGGCCCCAGCGCCGATCCGAGAAATCCTCGGTGGACCCCCGAGCTCCAGCCAATCCTCGAGGGGAGGTACGGGCGGAGGAGGAGGAGGAGAAGGAGGAGGAAAAGGAGGAGGAGGAGGAGGAGGAGGAGGAGGAGGAGGAGGAGAAGGAAAATGCAGGAGAGGGAGGAGGAGGAGGGAGGAGGAGAGGAAAGGAGGGATGAGGAGTAGGAGGATGGGAGGAGCAGGAGAGGGGAGGCAGGAAGAGGAGGAGGAGAGGAGGAGGAGGAGGAGGAGGAGGAGGAGGTGGAAGAGGAGGAAATGGAGGAGATGGAGGAGGGGGTGTCTGTGCAGATCTTTCTCCTCCGAGCTCTGGCCGCGAGCCTCCGGCATCATGGAGAAGGCGTATGCGAGCGCGTTCTTAAGCATCTTCTGCTTTCCCGGGTCCGCCGAGAAGTTGAGCACCCTTTCGGCGGCGGGGAGGGAGGAGGAGGACGAGGAGGAGGAGGAGGAGGAGGAGAGGAAGGAGGAGGGGGAGGGGAGGGGAGGAGGGAGGAGGAGGTGGAGGAGAAGGGGAGGGAGGAGAAGGGGGAGGAGGAGGAGGGGGAGGAAGAGGAGGAGGAGGAGGAGGAGGAGGAGGAGAAGGAGGAGGAGGAGAAGGTGGAGGAGGAGGTGGAGGAGGAGGAGGAGGAGGAGGAGGAGGAGACTTCCAGCGGGCGGCGGGTGCACGCGGGGACTGGGAGGGTCTCGGAGCATGCGCCACGCCGTCCAGTCGGCCGAGGGGCTCGGTGCATGGATGCCAGAGCTTCCCGACCTGCTTGACGCTGGAGCGTATTGACACGGCACTCACTGGCTGAACTCCTTGGCTCGTTCGCCGGTCAAACGACGTGGTGTATTCATCGAGCCGAGGCGACGAAGGCCAAGCCTGGGGCGGGCCACTTTGACGGCGGATACCAATCGGACATAGGACATAATAAAATCCTTCAAGAACATGGGACCCTCCGCCGGCCAAAACACACTGAACATCCAAGGGTACCCTCCCCCAAGATGTACAAGAGCATCCAACAACCACGAAGACCACCAGGGTACCCTCCCCGAACCGACCTCGGTCCGACTGTATTCAGCGAGCCGAGGCGACGAAGGCCCAGGCTGGGGCGGGCCATGTTGGCGGCGGGTGTCCCGACATAGAGGGGACTCTTCGCAACAGGTGGCGGAGGCTCCCAGACCTCCAGCCGTCTCCGAGTAAGGGGGTCGACCTCAGAACCGATGAGCTTCACCACGTTTCCCTCCCGAGATCTGGGCAGGGCACGACAGTGTCGGAGGATCGCGCCGCAATGTGCCGCTGCGTCGGCGATGCAGCGGCCGCGCCGGGGTGCAGAAAAACGGGGCTCCGGATCGCCCGCCATCGCCGACAGCGCTGGTGGCGCTGCGCGATCTTCCGGCCCCATCTGCTCCTGCCCAATCCACAGGCCAACGACGTCGTAATTATTATTTCGCAGCGTTGGAAGAAGAAAACCCGCATAAGCATAACTTTTGGCGCTCCGCGCAGATTTCTTGGATCTGCACTGGAGCGCTTTGGCGGCGCCTCTGGCGCCGCGAACCAGGGCGGCGCGGATCCGTCAGACACTTATGTTTATGCCGTCTTGAGGCCTGGAGAGGCCAACATAATTTATTGTCTTTCGATTTCTGATGTTTCTGGCATTTGCTTCCTGTCGGCCTTCCGACGGCCCGAGACGACCCAAGAGCCCCCCAAGGTCGCCCAAGAGGCCCCCCCAGGATGGCCCCAGAGCGGCCCACGAGGCCCCCAGGACGGCCCCGAGCGAGCCCCAACACGGCCCGCAAGGCCCCCAAGACGCCCAACATGGCCTCCAAGACTGCCCTTGACTACCTACCAGACCACCCCAACCTAACCCGAAGACCCGAATTTCGGGTTGGGAGGTTACGGGTTCCGCACGTCTTTTTTCGATGTTCCCCGCCCCCCCCCACTGGAAAGAGGGCAAATCGGGGCCTTCGGGTTGGGTTGGGGTGGTTTGGTGGGCGGTGAGCCCTAGGAGCACCCGGTGAGGGTCCCAAGTCCGCCCACAAAGGCC